AAATCCATATTAATTGGACTTAAATATTTAACTCAATTATACTAATCCACAATATTTATTTGGATTAATATATTTATGAATTCAACATAATCCGAATCATTTTATAAATTTATATTTAATAAATTTTAAATGAGTACAAATGCCCCCTGCTTCAAGTCTTGTCGAAATATTTTATCTTTTAGAGACTAGGCTTGAAGTATTACGTACACGATATTTATATACCATGTATTTTAGCTTATTGGTATACACTCCAACGTAATTGAGACATATAAATGATATTTAGCTATCATATTGCCAACCTCCAATTATCCTTAGTCAATTAGATGTAGGAGAAAGGATAATAAGCAAACAATCTAATTGTTGCATGAAAAGGATTATTTAGCCGTTTTTTTTTTAATAAATAAATACATTTATTTAATTATTCAATCCGTACTGTCATACTTACTTAGGATATTTTTCTTTCCTTTTTTTTTAGCAAACAGGAACTATAATTGGTATTAAAATATGAATTCTTTTAGTGGCATATTAATACCTAAAATAGAATAACAATTTGGTATAGAATATGGATTTCTCCACCGCCATAACCCATATTAACATCTATAAATAGAGGCCACCATATTTTTTATTCTCAACATCAATCATCACGAACTTCTCTTTCTCTCGCAGAATATTTTCGAAGTGCAATACGCGAGCCTACATGTATGTGTTTCTTTATGTATTTTTTTTTTATGTTTGCAGGTCCTGGGTTTATATATATATATATATATATATATATATATATATATATATATATATATATATATATATATATATATATATATATAGGAAGGTATGTAATGGAGAGCTATTTTAACACACAAAAATTTGATTTTGAGGTGTGAAGCTTCTCCGCTTTAAAGATCACCGACTTGAGGCTAAACTAGAATACCGTGTAACGCTCCTGCTTTAAAAATAAATTCAAGGTGTTACTAGGTCCCGAATGCTTGATCAACTTGAAGCTTTAATAGGATACCGTGTAATGCTCCCGCCTTGAAAATAAACTCAAGGCGTTTCAAGGTCCTGAATGTTTGACCATGAAGCTTTACTAGAATACCGTGTAACGCTCCCGCTTTGAAAATAAATTCAAGGTGTTACAAGGTCCCGAATGCTTAACCAACTTGAAGCTTTTACTAGAATACCGTGTAACGCTCCCGCCTTGAAGATAACCTCAAGGTGTTACAAGGTCCCGAATGCTTAACCATGAAGCTTTACTAAAATACTGTAACGCTCCCGCCTTGAAAATAAATTCAAGGTGTTACAAGGTCCCCAAATGCTTGACCATGAAGATTTACTAGAATACCGTGTAACGCTCCCGCCTTGAAGATAAACTCAAGGTGTTACAAGGTCCTGAATGCTTAAATTATTTGCCCCTTCTTAACAACCTTCTTTTTGAGTTTTATCTTTTTTCGTGCATTATTGTAAAGAAACATTAACACTTTTCTTTACTTCTTATTTTCTGCAGTTTGAACAATGGTTTTCTTCAAGGATTATACTTGTCCATCTTCTAAACTCGAATATCTCATTGTTGGATCAGAGGGTGGTACGATGGAGACTAAGTTTTTGGTCCAACAATCTTTTGTTGGTCGTTATGTTGATCCATGGCCACAATTGAGAAACACACTCTATATGAAAAGTTGGACATCTGAATACAATCATAAATCTAATAAAACCTCTAAAGTATGGTATCTTGAGAAACCAATTCCTCATCGTATGAACGTTGCGAAGACCTTTTCAAATTTAGGTCGCCGCATGATTCAAGAAGAACTACGTTGGGGAGACAATATTGTGGTTGAAGGTGAATATCGTTGCATTCCGGGGTACTGAGAATGGACAGAAGATGTCTTAAGCAAAAATGGGCAAACTCTAAACAGTGCTTGTATTCGTGATGCTGTATTTGCTTCTCTTTTTACCTATGATCGGAACTCCAATATTATACAAGCCTTTTGTGAGGCTTGGTGCCCTCAAACAAATACATTACTTACATCTGCTGGGGAAACATCCATATCTCTTTGGGACTTGCATATTCTTGGTGGTTTGCCAATTAAAGGATACCCTTACGAAGAGGTGATACCAAACTCCACTGAACTTACAGGATTTAATGATAAGAGGGAAAGATTTCTTCCTCGAACTTGTGAATATATGTTTGCTGCCTTTCAGCACCTTAAAGAGGAAAATCATGGTAATATGGGAATCTCTTTCAATGAATGGATACAATTTTGGTGCAAGAAAGATCTCAAATATGAGTTAGCTCCCCCAAGAAAAGAGAAGAAATCTCGGCGTCTATCGTCTACTCATAATCCTACAGGCGAAATACCTACTGAGATAAATACATGGTCAATTATTCAAGAGATGGTATTTTCTAAGCTTGGAGCGAAACATCAGAAATATGAGACTTATCTGACAGCATTTTTGTCATGTTGGTTATGTGCCTTTGTACTTCCATCTGAAGAAGGCAATTTCATTCGACCTGAGACTTTCAAGATAGCGAGTTTAATGGCGAGCGGTAAAAGGGTTAGCCTTGCGATTCCAATTTTAACAAGCATATATCATGGCTTAAATAAAATTTCAAATTCTTCACAGTTGGACCATGTAAGAGTTTGTTTTCCCATTCACTATGTCTATGGTTGGCTTGCTTATTATCTCAAAACACACTATCCGCTTACTAGTGGACCTTCTCTACCACGAATGGTGGTATATTCTGGAGAAGGTGCTGCAAAGTATTTTGACAAAGATGAGGCAAGAAAGCGAGTTCATCGGGGGGAGAACATTGTATGGAATGCAACTATTCTTAGTAGGCCTCACCCAACTTATTATATTGATGATGAAAAATCATCAGAGTTTGATCAAGCTTATTTTATGAGCATTCGTTTTAATTATCTTCCATTGAGGAGGGGAGGTTCCTTTGTCATTGAGCCATATAGTCCGCACCGATTTAGTCGTCAATTTGGTTTCCATTAAGATAATCCTGGCTATTTAGAAAATGATATTCGTGTTGAGTTACTTGATGAAGGCCTTAGATACTGGCGCATTTGTGTGTCACGTGTGACTATGTCTAAAGCGACATTTCCTCCTGCGGTAACTTCCGCAAAGAAGCTTTATACCACCCAATATTCATCTTGGTGGGAGAGGTCTTATGGAACGTTTCTTGAGGATAATTTGGATGTTATGGTGGAAAAAGCTGGGTCAGAATTTGTTACCCTTCTAGAAGACAAATTTCAAGATATCGAGAAAACACTTTCAAAAGTCAAGACACCACTTGCTCCCCAACATCAAAGTAAGAAGCTTAACTTTTCTAAGGCATCTAAGAAAGAACTGGTTCATACTCCTACCGATAAAGAGAAATCCCCCCAATTTCTGTTCTCTAGTAAACTGTCCCTTCAAGAAACAAGCAAAACTAGCAAGGATCGATGTTGGAAGAGGCAAAGAATTGAACTATCTGGGGCTGAAATTGTAGAAGTCCGAAGCGTCGATAATCCTTCTAGATCATTGACAATTCAAAGTAACAAGGTATATATATATTTATTTATTTTTTAAAAAATAAATAAATAAAATGACCTTGCTAACCTTCCCCTTTCGTTTGTAGGTTGATGCTGATGGACATTTACAAGGGTCACCGCGTGAGAGGCCACAAGTTAGCGAAGAGTCTACCGCGATATTGAGACCTAAGGCAAAACCAATTTCATATATCGAGAAAGATCAAGAGTCATCGTCTACTTCTCCTGGCCAAACTTTAAAAGGGTTGGCTCCTAACTCAAATGAGCTTTCCCGAGTTCTTCCCAAGATAAATGGTGCTATGTCTGTCTTCGAAGGAAGAGGTGTGGTGTTTAATCACAAAAGGAAGTACATCTTGGGTCTTTGGGAAGAGATCTGTAGAAAACTTTCCAGAACTTCTCTAAACAATATTTCATCTTACAAAGATGATATTTATGAGATTTTCAAGGAGATGAGTGAGATGAATTTATTAGATCTTTCACCATTAAAAAGATTGGTAGATTCTCTTTTTGATCATGCTACTTCTTATGACCAAGAACACTCTAATTTTGTTGACAAGGAGCCTGAAGATAGGAAGATGGAACTGCTTTCCAATGCCAAAGAACGTCTCGAATTATTCAAAGTAGAAGAATGTGAGAAGGCAAAACATGTCTCTTCTAACAAGAAATCGCTAAAGAAGGTTAAGCGGAAGCTAGCAACTTTACAAGGAGAGCGAGTGGGTCTTGAAGCTGTTTTAGACGCTGCTAAGAAGAACGTCGAAGATATTCAAGCCAAGATTTTAGCTACGGAAGATGAGATATCCTCGTATGAGAATATGAGTTTATTAACGCCTGAAGATTCAATTCGTATGGAACAGAAAAGAGAGTGCTTGGAGGCTAGTCGACAAGATTTGACCAACTACAAGTTACGCTTAGATTAGACTCTTTTTTTTTTACTTTTTAACTTTCGATTGGTCTTTAATTCTTGATTGCAAGCTTTTATTAATTCAAAGTCATGTCGCATTTTCCATGTCAATACGAATGAATATAGCGCAAGTTCCACATTTTTGTTTAGTTTGGACATTTAAACTTGACTTATGAATTTTGTGGAATCCGATGCTTCAACTCTTAACAAGTTTTAGAACCTTTAACTTGTAAATTCAAAAAAAAATATAAAGGTTTGATCCTTCCATAAGCCCATCAATACTTCGTACAAGTATAAGATTTGATGAGACAAAAGATAATATACATATCGCTTCGACTTTTCTTTGAATTTAAGTGGGAACATTTTTATTTTTTTGACACTCATGCAACTGAACTTAGAATATGGTTCTAAGCGCCTACGTACCTCAATAAAGAAGATCAAGTCACAACGTAGTTCTGGGGATTTGAGTGATTTTTTTTTGTGGTTGTGCCGTACACAGTTTATACTCTTGCGGGCCAGGAGTGACATGCAGTTTAGGCTCGTACCTTAAGGAGCATCATCTTCCTTCAAGGATAGTATCTCTTTAGAAATTTGGCATTAATAGGACCGATCCTTAAGCCATCAGCATCAACAAGCTTGTAAGCACCATTTGAATATGCTTCTTGTACGACATATGGTCCATCCCATTTTGAGGTAAATTTGCCCCCAGACTTGTGCGAAGTAATGATGGGTTTTCTTACTGCGAGAACTTGATCTCCAACTTGAAAGCACCTCAAGCGAACCTTCTTATTAAAAGCACGAGATAGACGAGCTTGATAACATTCAAGGTTTTGTTGGGCTTGTAACTTCTTTTCATCAAGTGCTTCTAACTCAGCAAGACGCAATCGAGCATTTTCTTCCTCAGTGAGCCCTTCTTGAATAGCAAGTCTTAAGGAGGGTATTTGACGCTCGAGTGGCAGGACTGGTTCAACTCCAAAAGCAAGTGAATATGGTGTTGCTTGAGTTGGTGTGCGATATGTTGTCCTATATGCCCACAAAGCTTCTTCCATTCTTTCATGCCAATCCCGTTTGGATTTGGAGACAACTTTCTTGAGCAGGTTGCATAGAGTCTTATTGAATGCTTCAGCAAGACCATTAGCGGCAGCATGGTACATAGAAGATTTACGCTGCTTAAAGTCAAAAAGATCACAAATCTTGTTCATTAACTTGTTATCAAATTATTTGCCATTATCTGTTATTATATAGCGAGGGATGCCAAAGCGATAGATAATATTTACTCGGATAAAATTTGCAACATTCTCTTTTTTTACCTCTTTAAGAGCGACAGCTTCAGCCCATTTTGAAAAGTAATCAGTTGCAGCCAAGATGTACAAGTGTCCACCAGAAGACTTTGGTAATGGTCCTACAATATCTAGTCCCCAAGCGTCAAATGGCCAAGATGAGATGGTTGGGTGCAATACTTCGGGTGGCTGATGAATGAAATTCGCATGAAATTGACAAGCATCGCATTTCCTGACATAATATAAGCAATCTTTCACCATGGTTGGCCAGTAATACCCCGTCCTCTTTAGGTGAAAATGAAGTTTTGGTCCAGATTGATGTGATCCACATACTCCTGAGTGTGCTTCTTGTAGAGCTTGAATTGTTTCTTCCTCTCCCAAACATCGTAATAACATACCCTCAAATGATCTTCTATATAATGTATCCTTGTAGTAAAGGAAACGAGGTGCACGACGACGTATGTCATTTCTTCTTCTAGGATTTTCTGGAAGTATCCCGTAACATAGGTAGTGAATGATGGGTTGTCTCCAATCTTCCTTCGCATCTTCAACCATGGCGACGATATGATCAAGCTTATTTTCAATATATTCTTCCTCATTTGACGGTGGTACTATCCATTTCTGACAGACAGTTACTTGCGTCTGATCAGGAAGGGTTAGCGTTGAAGCTAGAGTAGCCAATGCATCAGCTTTCTTATTCTCTGTTCGACGCACATGTTGAAGAGTTACATCCCCAAGCCATCTTATCAACTTTTGAGCATAATCATGATAAGGCCGCAATTCAGGCTTTTTTACCTCATAACTTCCTAAGAGTTGATTAATCACCAACTGAGAGTTACCAAAGACCTGTAAATGTAATTGTTTCATGTCAACGGCCATTTCAAGTCCAAGTATCAGTGCTTGATATTCAGCGACATTATTTGAGCAACATTGTTTTAGAGTAAAAGAGAATGGTAGAATCTCTTCTTGTGAAGTGATGAACACCACGCCAGCACCAGCTCCATCGCGATGTGCAGCCCTGTCAAAGTACATTTTCCAAGGAGGTTGAACTTCAATTAACATCGCATCTTCATCAGGAAACTCATCAGTTAAATCCCAATCATTTGGTATAGGATGGTCTGCTAAGAAATCCGCTAGTGCTTGTCCCTTCACGGATTTTTGAGGGATGTACACAATCTCAAATTGTTGGAATTGGAGGTACCATCTTGCTAGTCGGTCACTAAGGACAGGTTTTGACATAACAAACTTGATGGGATTTGCTCTAGAAATAAGGCGGACAACATGAGCTTGAAAATAATGCTTCATCTTTTGAATTGAGAAGACTAGTGCCAAGCATAACTTTTCAATTGGCGAATAATTTAGCTCATTTGGCGTCATCGTTCTACTTAAGTAATAAAGAGCATTTTCTTTTCCTTCACTATTCTCTTGAGCTAACAGGGCTCCTACAGACCTTTCTTGTGCTGCAATGTAGAGTATCAATGGTTTTCCAGGTATAGGGGCTGCCAAAACCGGAGGTTTCGCTAGATACGATTTGATACTTTTAAAGGCTTCGCTACATGTTTGGTCCCAATTAAAAGGAGCACCTTTCTTCATGAGATGACTGAATGGTTGACATCTCCCTGCTAGATTTGAGATGAACCTTCTCAAGTAGGCTAACTTTCCTTGGAGACTTTTTAACTCATGAATATCTCGAGGTTCAGGCATCTTTGATATTGCATCGACTTTGGCTTGATCAATTTCAATTCCTCGATGTCTCACAATAAAGCCAAGGAACTTTCCGGAAGTAACTCCGAAGGCACATTTCAATGGATTCATCCTTAGTTGATATCATCGGAGTAACTCAAACACCATCCTTAAGTCTTTCAAATGATCACCCCTCTTTCTCGACTTTACTACCAAATCATCAACATAACATTCAACATTTTTATGGAGCAAGTCATCAAAGATATTTTGCATAGCCCTTTGATATGTGGCACCAGCGTTCTTTAAACCAAATGGCATCACTTTGTAGCAATAAATACCTTTTGGCGTGCGAAATGCAGTGAGCTCTTCATCTTTTGGTGACATGCGGATTTGATTATATCCGGAAGAACCATCCATGAACGACATTGCCTCATAACCAGTGGTGGCATCAATCATCAACTCTGGAATGGGAAGAGGAAACTCATCTTTAGGGCATGCATTATTGAGATCTCTAAAGTCAACGCAGACTCGAATTTGACCATTCTTCTTCCTCACAGGAACAATACTTGAAATCCATGTAGGATATTTGACCTCACGAATAAAGCCCGCCTCAATGAGTTTGTTAACTTCATTTTCAATCAACGGAATCAAGTCTGGTCTAAAACGTCTTTGAGCTTGTTTAACAGGACGAGAACCATTTTTGACTGCCAATTGATGGACCGCTACTCTAGGATTCAATCCAGGCATTTCTTTATAACTCCAAGCGAAGACATCTCTATATTCTTTGAGTATATTCATGTAAGCGGCTTCTTCATCAATTTCTAGAAACGCACTCAAGTAAGTTGGCTTCGGATCTTCATCAGTGCCAAGGTTAACTTCCTTCAAAGGATCTATTGTGATCTTTACTCCTTCTTCAAGTTCTGGAGGAGCATCTTTAGCATCTTCCTCTTCCACAGGATCATTGTCATTGACCGATATATGATAACACGAGAAAATATCTTCTACCTCTTCTTCAATCTTCTTTTGAGGCAAAGAATCGTACTCATTTTGAATTGTAACATGATTTGAGGAACCTACACTTTCTTCATCTTCCTCGCGCTCTTTGGTGTAAACCACAGTATGAACCTTTGCCTTGAGTTCCTCTTTACAGGAAACCACAAGTTCCACTCGTCGCCTCATCCTAGAAGGAATCAAACTTTTGAAATCCTTTCGAACCAAATGTGAAGTAGGCCTTGTAACTTTTAAATAACTTCTCATGTTATTGTTATTTTTTTTCAGAGGACCTAACCTCTCAAACACAGAAATTCTTGTTGTCGCTTCACCAAGTCGATCAAAGACGGAAGGCCTTTTATTGGGAGCAGTGATGTCATCTTCAAAAGTTATATGATTATTACTGGCCCTTCTTATGGAAATGCGAATTGGCGGCGGTTGGCTATAACCTAGGCCTTCACGCGCTTTCCTAGTTGTATCTTCTGATGGTAGTTTCCCTAGCGCTGATAGCTCACTAGGGTTGTATCCTGCCTTCACAAATAACTTGTAGGCATTGGGGTCAAAACCTTCTCTTGTGCGTTTTGTAGGGAGAGCCATATCTAGCACTTGATCTTGAGCGACTGACTTTTCTGGCAACTTTGCAGACAAGTTTATTGCATCAATCCGTTTGATAGGAAAAGTTAGCCCTCTTAATGCATTTTCTTCAAGGTTAGATGGTTGATCTTGTTTTTTTTTCTCCTTTGGAACATAGCAAAGCCTAGAAGTCTGCTTCTTCTTTGAAGACAAGATATTCCCTTCATTAAGAATGGGACAAGAGTCTTTAGTGTCAATTTTAACCTTTTTGATAGCTGCATCAATTCTTTTGTTTACGATATTATCAATCTTGATTGATTTGACGTCATTGGATTTGACCCCTTTAACAACATAACTTCTCATATAGAATTTCGCATCCGCAAAGTGTGTCTCCACTTCGGTGAAAGGATTATCATCTGCAAATAGAAGATCGTTTTCTGTAAATGTGATTTTAGTATCACAAACATGTGCTTCTTGGGAAGAAAGTTCAATAGGTTTTTCAGAAGATGAAAGAGACATCATTTCTGAGATTTCCCTTGTTTCTTTTTCTTCTTCCCCAGGAGACACTTTTGGTGAGGATTCACTCGTTGTTCCTTCTTTTACAGCAGGAGGCACCTTCATTGATTGTTCTTTATCCACATTGAAACATGATGCCTCGACATTTCCTTGAGTAGACTTTCTGTCGAATGAGCTTGGCAAGAATTCCTCTAGAGTCACAAGACGTCGAGGTCTTTGGTAGTGATGCACTTCAACCTTTGCCCTTTTGGGGCGTTTGATTGATTTTTGCTTCTTTGATTTCTTCACCATTTTTTCTCTAACCGGTTGTTCGGATAATTCTTTTCGTAGGCTTGACTTGTTGCGTCTTCGCCTAGTTACAAGAATCCAACCCTCATCATCATCTATGTCAGCGTTCTGGTCTACAGGCTCTTCTTCATGCTTTTCAGAGATATATATTTGGACCGGATCCAGTGACCCAAACGTGATAGAGGTATGGTTAGAACTAGCCTTCTGATCATCAAGGATAATTTTATTTTCGTTAGCCAATCGCATCACTCTATCCTTAAAGACAAAACATTTTTCAAGAGGATGACTCACAAGTCTATGATACTTGCAATAATTTGGGTCATCAGTTTTTCCAGCTTCATCGGGTCGCTTCATCTCTGCCAAGTCAATGAGCTTTAACTCAAGCAATTCATCAAAAATTTCAGAAACGTCAGAATCCAAGAAGGGATACTTTTTTCCTTGCATCTCCCTTAGCGTCGACTTTTGATTTGAACGTGCTTGGAAAGTCGTTCTCACATTTTGTTTTACACCCTCATTCATGGTGAACTTTGCGGGTGACACATTTACACTCATGGATTCTTTGTTGTCATTTTTGGGCAGAAACTTGCTCCATCTCTTGGGTTCCTGTTTGTCCCTTCCTTTGTGACGGTCATGGACAATAGTCATATCTTTTCCGGCAGATGTCATGCTCAACTCCATATCATGAGCGCGAGTAGCTAAATCCTCGAAAGATTTTGGTTTTATTCCTTGCAAGATGTAAAGAAGCTCCCAGTGCATTCCTTGAATACACATTTCGATTGCAGAAGCTTCACTAAGTCTGTCCTTGCAATTTAGGCTCGCGTTCCTCCACCGATTTATGAAATCTATGACTGGTTCATCCTTCCTTTGGCGAGTATTCATGAGTTCTACCATGCTCACCGTGCGCCTTGTGCTATAGAAGCGATTAAGAAACTCATGTTCTAGTTGCTCCCAACTATCAATAGAGTTAGGTTCGAGATCCGTGTACCAATCAAAGGCATTTCCTTTTAGAGAGCGAACAAACTGTTTGACAAGATAGTCTCCATATGTTCCAGCATTGTTACATGTCTCCACAAAGTGCGCGACATGTTGTTTTGGATTTCCTTTTCCCTCAAATTGTTGAAATTTGGGAGGTTGATAACCAGCAGGCATTTTGAAGTTATCAATCCTAGCAGTATATGGCTTAGCATACATATGAGAAGACTTGGTGGAGACTTCATACTTATCTTTGATATGCCTTCAATAAACTCCTTCAAGCGATCGAGTGGGATCATTCCTTCAGAAGAAACTGGCATCTCTTTAACAAACGGGGCTTTCTTAGCAGGATCTTCGATTTCTTGAACTTCAATGCCCTTTCAAGGTGCATGGCTTGCATCTCCATCTAAAAGTCCTTCTATCCTGTCCATCAACTTGTCAATTCGAGATTCTTGGTGGTGTACGTGCTTCGTCAATCCTTCAACCAACTTTGTGAGATTTGCGAGTTGTTCCTCAGGAGAGGAAGCAGCAGTCACCATCGTTTGCATGATCATCGGAGATGCAGGAGAGTAAAATAGTTTGTCGCGTAAATTAATTTTCAGTGGACTCACATTACGCGATATACGTGGAGATGATTCACAAGTTGAATCACAGTTCTCCCTTGTGGTAGAGTTCTTGGGACCAGATTGCTCAAGTAGAGCCAATGTCTTCTTGATCTTTTCAGCAACACTACTTCCTCCTTCTAGAGAATTTGTGGAGGAACTTGCTCCTTTTGGAGTCGAAGTCCCAAAAACAGGGGTTGATGCAGACGACACTTGAAGCGTTTGTTGCCCTAGTGTAGTAGCCTTGCTTCTCGTAACAGCCCCAAAACTTCCAAAGGTAACACCAAGGATGTCTTCAACTTCAGTAGAGAACTTGGAGCTAGTGACCTTAGAGGCGGTTGATCGAGAGTTGTTGTTCATGGAAGTCATCTTGATATTCTTTGACGTTTGAAAAGTTGAGATGAGAGGTAGAGATTGTCCCACTGGGCGTGCCAGAATTTGTAGACAATAAAATTCGCGTCGAGAAAACAATAATCAAGAACGGAAAATTATAGCAACAATCGATTTTATTATTTCAAATGCGAGTGTTACAATCTCTATAATTCCTCTGAATTCGCCTTTTCAAATATAAATTCAAGGGCTTTAAAGCTTGTTCTTGAATCTACGATTAACTTGAACTTGAACTTTATCTTGATCTTGACTTTTATTTGAACTCAAGGGCTTCGAGCTCGTTCTTGAATTCGGTGGTCTTGATCTTGATTGTTCTTGAACTTGAATGCTTGAATTCTTAAACTTGTAGCTTTGTAGAGAATTAAATGGCGTTTGTACCACAGAGTTTCTCTAGCTTCTTGTTTAGAATTTTCTATCTCTTTTCTGAATTATGAGGACCCCTATTTATAGTTTTAGAATAGAGGAGTTAAAATTGGAATAGGATTCCGTTCAGCCAATCAGATTGAAGTGACATGGTATTTGGGCTTTATGGAGCGGGCTTGTCATCTTTGACACATGTCATGATTCTGTTGGTTTTCTTATTTGACTTGGCATGCCACATCATCTGTACACGTGGTGCCAAGATGGGCTCTAAAATGAGATGAGATTGGGCTTAACAAATTGGGTTCATTCAATGTGGCCCAAATCAATTAATTTAGACTTTAATTAAATCCATATTAATTGGACTTAAATATTTAACTCAATTATACTAATCCACAATATTTATTTGGATTAATATATTTATGAATTCAACATAATCCG